AATCAAGCGCCAAATGACGGAACCGTACCGTGCCGAGCGTGATTTCGCTGATTACGAGATCGGAGTCGCCGAGCTTCCTGTACTCCAATGCGCTCTTCTCGCCGAGCTTCGCCCTCGCTCCCGGCTCGAAGCGGCTCCTCCGGAGACGCCTCTCCGCCGCCCTGGACGGCCGCCGCCGAGGCCGAGCCGGCAGAGCAGACGCGCGGCTCCGGCGCCGGCTGAGAAGGGAGAAGCGGGAGGGGTCGGAGCGAGGGCGACCGGGGACGCCATTTCTGCGGAGCGAACGAAGAGCTTCGTCGCAGCGCGGAGTGCTCGTGGACGCTCGACTCTTATCAGAAACACGAGCGTTTTTTGAAAGGAGGGGGCGACCGTTCCGCTCTTGTACGGCCGATTGCCGATCTGAGCACGAGGACAAGAAATATCTGGCGCGGCTTCCATCAACCGGGTCGACGAGGGACGTCGGCGTAGAGCGGTTCGAACCGTTCGAACCGAACCGACTGCTCAGATACAGAAATTTCGCTAGCTCGCGTAAGGAATAATGACATAACTGGTTATTATATTTTGGCATAATGTGCAATATAATTCATGAAATTTTAATTTATTCAATGTGGTTCTTAAACTTTACCCCAATGTGCATTGTGGTCCATTGACTTTTAATTTATTCGCTATGATCCTTAGAGTTTTAGCACTTGTTCAATTTGGTCTTTGAACTATATGAAAATATTCAATGTTGGTTTCTCCATTATTTCAAATTGGGCTAAACTTCATGGACGACATTACATATTGTGCTAAAATTTAAAGACCACATTGAACAAATCAAAAGTTCAGGGATTAGATTGCGTATTGAATCAAAGTTTAGGAATCACTTGTACCATTTTTCTTTTGTGTAAAGAAAGCTTATTATTGATTTCATGCAAATGCATTCATGGTTTGATTAATTAATCAAGTATAATAACCAGGGTCCTTGGGAGGAGCTCCTCAGGGAGGAGCTCGTCAATTAGGGTGGCCATGTTTTTGGATGCAGGAACGGGTATTTGGATGTACGAGGAATGGCAAACGTGCTTTGATGGCAGACTCCTTGAAAACCTTAAATGCGATGGATTTGGTCTTGCGGACCCGACCCGGGTTCAGACAATTAGGGTCTGTTTAGTAACGTTTCTGTTTCTTTGTTTTTCTGTTCTTTTGTTTCCCAGAATAGAAAAAGAACAGAAATCCGTTTAGTAAAAAAAATCTATTTTTTTTTTCTGGAACAAAAAAGTGTTCCTGAAATAAATTTGGAACAGAAACAAGACGCAAAAAAAATCTGATTCTTGTTTCTGGAACAAAAAAAAAGAAACGATTTTTTTTCTAGAATCCTTCAAAAACAAGAAACAATCCATCGGCCGCAACCCGCCCACCGCCGCCTCTCGCCGTCCTTCGCCGCCACCTATCGCCCGCCTTCCGCCGCCGGCCGCCTCCCACCCGCTGGCCGCCTCTTGTCGTTGACCACTGTTCTCCGCCGCTCGACGCTTATTGCCACCAGCCGTCGTCCTCCACCACTGGCCGCCGTGCTCCATCGCCCGAGGCCGGCCGCCACCTGGCGTTGGCCACCTCCCCCTGCCAACCACCCGATGCTGGCGATCACCCACCACCGGTCATCGTCTTCTGCCGCCGCCGGCCACTCACCACCGGCCGCCATCCTCCGTCGCCGGCCATTGTGCTCCACCGCCCGACGCCGGCCACCACCCGGCGCTGGCTGCTCTCGGCCACCAGTCACCTCCTGCCCCTGGCCACCCGACGCCGGCGATCACCCACCATCGGCCGCCATCCTTCGCCACCGGTCGCCGTGCTCCATCGACCGACGATGGCCACCCTCCGCAGCCAGCCACCTCCCGCCACTGCCCCCCGTTGCCGTCACCGCCGCCCAACGCCACCGTGCTCTGCCTTTGACCGCCATGCTTCACTGCCTCCCGTTGCCGGCCGCCATCCTCTACCGCCGCCAACCACCGTCCTTCGCCCCCCACCGCCACCTGCCGTCCTCCGCCGGTAGCCTAGAAGGGAGAAACTCGTCTATGGAATAGAAATGAATCATTCGTGCCCTAAACGCGTTTCTATTCTTTTTCTATTTCAGGAATCAAAAATTTGTGTAGTTACTAAACGCTATTTTTTGCTCAGAAACTGTTCCAAGAAATAGAAATAAAAAAAACTATTTCTGATCAAAAATTGTTTCTGGGAACATAAACGTTGCTATGCAGACCCTTATTTACCCATGCCAAGCACGTGATCAAAGAATAAATTAAAAAAGGTTACCATTACCGTTAGCAAGTGCATTCGAGACATTTATTATGCATATTTGATAATATATTCGACCTCCAAGACTAACTGCACACATCGTGAGGAGAGTCGGTGCATTAAGAACTGCAAATTTTGCATATTGTCACCCAACCAAGTGTAGCGAAGGAGCAATACCTTCACGATCCCACGCACATAAACGCAATTGATCTAAGCCATTGGATCAAGTAGGGCCCACATGATTGGGTCGCATCGACCGGGCTCATGTGTATCCGGAGCAGCTAATGATATTTCGCAGCGAAGACCCTTTTCAACAAAGTGCCTTAAAACTAAAAAGAAATTAGATAAATGATCAAACCCAAGAACGAGAACAAACACATTTACAATCCATTGACAGTTTTGCCAACATCCTAGGCTGGAGAAAGTTGTTTCTTTATTACTCAAACAGCCAACTCATGAAAACGCACAAAGTGTTTCCTAAAGGTTTGCAAGGTATTTCACGGGCCTTTAGATAGCTCGGGCATCGTTACATCCTTAAGTTATAAAAGAAGAAGAAGATGTTTTTTAGAGACCTTAGAATGATGCAAGAAAACCCTAGTAGACCCGAACAATGTGTTCTATCGGTATCGCACGTATATTGCATGACTAACGAGGGTATTAAGTCACTTAAAGAAGGAGATAACTTGTGCTGCACGAGATAATATGACATAAAGGGATAAATTATAAAAATGCCTAATGCTCATATTTAATGCCACGTATATACTGTGTGTAAATTGCAAACCGTTGATATGGTGCAATCGACCAATCATACTACCTCTTTGTTGTGCATGGCCTGATCCGGCGTAACCGTTGCGTGCCCCCCATCTCCTAAGTTGAACAACATCACTGAACAAATTGAGGTCCCTAAAACAAAATTTAAGTGACGGAATTATTAGTCGGTATCATGTACTATGAATAGGAGACTTCTTGCCATGATAAAATATCATATATTAGTATTTTATGAATGATGTGATGGACAAAATTAATGATATTTTGCAAAAGAACAATATAGGGAATTGGTGGGTTTTAACAAGACTCAGACATATGCCATATGGGAATCTTGACACGTGGTTAATTGGGGTGTCAAGTAAGGCTTTCTCGCGTGCCGTTCACATATGGTGTGGCAAGCCATGCAAAATAAGGTGTAATTTAGTATTGTAAAAAATAACGCATGCAGTCAATTAATTGGAAAATGAATGCATCGCTTCAATTAGCCAATAAATTCTCGTGATTGAGAGCTTTTAGTTTTTTTATATAGTTTTTGCAAAAGATCAACTAGCTTTGCGAGTGCAAATATCCTATCTTACAAATTGAAGTAAAAGCTAAGATACCAAATATCCTACCTTACACATCCAACTGCTTCGGCCATATAGATGGACATTTTTCAAATCTTTTATCCAATCTCAAATTGGCTTCTTCTAGAATACTTGAATTTGACGACAGATGTTAGAGATAATTAGGACATTTTCTATATTATAGATAATTAGGATATATCTGTTGATTCTCTATATCTCTTACGATTATGCATATGATATGTTATTTTAGTCATCTAATAAAGCCTATAAATAGGCTTCTATATATCAAATTTCTCTCCTCTTATTTTGATTTATCTCCATCACCGTCAGGGGACAAGAAACCCGTCCGCGTTCTCTGCTGCTGCAGGTATTGGGGAATGCTATCTGTTACTTTTTAATCGATCGTCTTGTTTTGATATATGGTTTTCGTGAGAGTTTCACCCTTTCATTGGAGGATTTTAGTAAACTGAACCTGTGTCGTGACCATTTACATGCGATGATTTGATTTGGTTCGCTTAGGTCGCACTTCTTGCATCGTGTTTTTGTATCGTGATCCTTCAGATTTTAAGGAAACTGAACCGAAAGCCGGTCACCGCTAGCCCAACATAGGTCAGGTTTGATACTCCGTGCCTCAAGACTCTTGATGCCTGAGATGTTGCCTACTATCTGGAACATCAACAGTCTGTATCGAATTTCCCCTCCCTTTATAATATAAGTAAGGTTGAGTGTTCATTGCTTCGCCCAGAGAGATCGGTTTCCCGCGACATCCTTGGCATTCAAGTGGAACCCGAACTCGAGAGTAATCGTTGGAACTTTTGCTTCTATGCTTTCTTTTTGGTTTGAAGTAAGATTTGATCCTAAGTTTAATAGGAGTTTTTAATGGAGGTTTTAGGTCCGTGCTAGAAATGCTTACCTAATGGAATTAGTATTCCAATAGAATAAGCTTAGTGGCCTGTGGTCTATCGGAAAAATATGAACTTTGGTTAGGGAGGTATTATATTAGTTTCCTCTTCTGTTTTGCATTTTCTGATTTAGTTTGGAGAAGCTTTTTACTATATTTTTATTAAAAGATAATCTACCGGTTCTGCAATATGCCACCCCATTTGTTCCCTTAGCATTTCCAATTCGTTTATGTTTCTACTATCGGTCTTTTGGGATTTTTTCACTTTATCGTTCACGAGTACATACTGTAATTGCCACACATTTCAGTGTGCTTGTTGACCATGAATGTGGTTTACATGACCTGTTTAGTGGCCTCTAATTCCACAGAAGTTGTCTGAAGTAGTTGATTCTATCTTGTGGACATTTTCAATTTTCAGATATAAAAATGTAAGTTTGCTTGGCCATGCAGGGGATGTTGCATATGCCCTCTTTCCTAATATCACTTCGGGACATATGCTGGGTCGTGACCAGCCTGTGATTCTGCACATGCTTGATGGCCCATCTGATGCAAAAAGAATGAATGAGGCTAAGATGGAATTGATGGATTGCAGATTTCCTCTCCTTGAAGGTTTTGTGTATGAGGTCTTGTAATTACTGAAGTATGTGATGATAATCTACGATGATCTAATATATCGCTTGCATTAGGTGCGGTTGCTACGACCGATGTTGAGGAGGCATGCAAAGGCGTTAGTTTTGCAGTAGTGATCGGTGGCTTCCCAAGGAAAGAAGGCATGGAAACGAAGGATGTGATCGCTGAAGTTGTTCCAATATACAAGTTCCTCGCTACTGCGTTAGAAAAGCATGCGGCCGCCGATTGCAAGGTAAGTTTTCTCTTGTTCGAAGGACTGATGTGAGCTTGAGGCTGGAAGTTTTCTGGTGTGAACCTCATGTCTTTTTTCACGTCTTTTTTCACTTAAAGAAAGTAATTCTAAAAACATAGAGGATCCTGGTTTGCTAACGGGTCAAAGTTTCAAAATCTGGAGATTTGGTTTTTTGTTTTCCTTCCATTTTCTATGAATGATAATCTGCAAGTAGGTGAAATGCCTCTTCTTTTATGAACTTTTAATTTACTCCGCATGTAATATGGGAAAAGTGTTAGAAAAATCCTCAATCTATATTACATTGATATCAATTTAGTCATAAACCTTTTAATTTGATTTAGAGCCAATTCAGTCCTTTTGGATAATTTGGCCTGATACTATCAACATGGAGGCCAGCCGGCCTACATGACATACCGCTAGCTTTTTAATAATTGTTAATATTTTTTCGAATCTTTATTTATTTATTTTTTTCCATTCCCATACTCCTTCCTCCAGTTGCCGGCCTCTGGTGAGGTATGATCTCGCCAAATCTAGAGAGGTAGTCGGCTAGTCTCGACCCTTGCCAAATCCAACGAGGGCAAGTCTTGCCAAAGGCCACCGAGGTTTGGTGACCGGCTGAAGGAAAGAGGAAGGGAATAGAAAAAAAAAATTCAAAAAATATTTAAAATATTATTAAAAATTATCCAATCAGTGCCTACCGTAGGTCCTGCCAAAATTATCTAAAAGGACTGAATTGACCTAGACCATTACTTTTCTGACATTTTTCCCCACGTAATTTGCTTGGGTAATTTGTGAATAGATGCAACTCTACTTGTCTGCCTCTTAATTTGCAAATAAGTGAAGTGCTTTTTCTTTTTGAAATCTCTGCACGAAAATTTGGTTGACTAATTACTAAATAGATAAAACATAGCATGTCAATGTTCCGAGATGACTAAAGTAATGTGGTGGTACACCATCAGATGCCACAGCATTGCTAAAACATTGATTAAGTGATATTCGAGTCCCTTTTTGCTTTGGGAAAATTGTTAAAAAAATCCTTAACGTATTGCACTTTTCCCAATTCAATCATCACCTTTCAATTTTGTCAATTGCTTGCTAAACTTTTTTACCTTTTGCCAAATGAGTCCATCCGATCAATTTTGGCCCGAATTTACTACTGTAAACGGTAGCCGACTTATGTGACATGATCAGCACTAATTATATGGAAAATTTCTAATAATTTTTTAATAATATTTTCGTTTTTTTTGTTTTTTTATTCTACAGATTTTTGTCGTTGCCAATCCAGCAAATACAATTCCGTTGATTTTGAAGGAATTTGCACCCTCCATCCCCGAGAAAAACACTGCCTGTTCCACTAAATTGTACCATAACAGGGCAACAGGTATTATTGCCCACAGGTTGCATGTTCCAGGTCGTGATCTGAAAAATGTGATCGTATGGGGAAGTGACTCGTTAAGTCGTTATCTTGATGTCAACCATGCTACTGTCAATACCCCATTTGGTGAAAAACCTGTGCGTGAACTCATTAAGGATGATGCTTGGTGAGAAAAATCGTCTTTGATTTGATTGTTGATAGATTTAGTAGGTATAATGGTGTGAGCTTTCTGAATTTGCAGTAAAAATCTTTATTTGCTAAAGGTTGGATGGAGAATTGGTTACTAGGTTTCACCAAATAGACCTGTCAAATGGGTGGGTAGGGTCGAGTTTAGATCGGGTCACAAATGGTCCAATCCAAATTGACCCATTAAACCGTTTATGATCTATTTATATGCAATGCAATTTTATTGACCCATATCCAACCTGACCCATACCCAATCCATACCCGACTCGATCTATATTGCTAAAACATTTTCGTATTTAACTAAATCTAGGAAAACTCATATCTAAACTGATATGAGAGCGCGGAATGAGTGAGCGCAAGATTGAGTGAGGGAGAGAGAGATGAGTTAAGTTTAAATAAGTTGTAAATCCATTTATGACCCATTTAGTGAATATAACTAACCCATTTATGACCCATTTATTAATATACGAGTTCAAAAATGGGTTTATGATCTATTTTGACAGGTCTACCACCAACTCGATGCCACCGGCTGGATGAGTGCGTATTTTACTGGTTGGGCTGCTTCCGACCACATCCATGACTGGGTCCTTGGAACTCCAAATGTACGGGAGCATTTTTCCTTTTCCTTTTTACTCAATCTCGTTCAGCTTATTAGTTTAGCTTGTTCTTTCTAGACTCATGTTCTTTGAACTGCACTTTTTTAGGGTACGTCGGTTTCCATGGGGGTGTGTTCTGATGGCTCTTCCAATGTGCCTGCCGGCCTATTCTATTCCTTTCCGGTAACTTGTTGCAACGGAGAATGGACCATCGTGCAAGGTACAGCAAACTTTGTTTTCGCATTGAAACCAATTATAATCTTCATTATTTGCACTTTGTGTTAGCATATTCTATCCCAAAACAGCCGTTAGTCCGAGATGTTTATGTTGCATTTCGTCTCTTGCGAGTCCCTCTGCATTGCAATAACATATGGCCACTTCGATCTTTTAATCGGAACAGTACTTTGAAAACTTGTCTTGTCTTTTGGTTCGTGTCATGACCGTCTGGTTGTGTGGCTTGATTGTAGGTCTTCCGATTGATGAGTTCTCGCGGAAGAAGACGGATTTAGCAGCAGAAGAACTTATTAAGGAAAGAGCATTTGCATACTCTTGCCTCTTGCCCTCAAGTATCGAGAATTTCTCATTAGAGGGGTAGCTAAAGGTCATGCTCTTGTTTCGCCATTGGAAAGGAATTCTTCCTTATTGAGAGATTCGTACAATGCGTTGGCTATCACACATAGCCAAGTGTCTTAATTATGCGTATTGGCATAGGTTTTGGGTTTTTAGCCTTTTATATTTCAGATTTCTCACCCACACGTGAATTTGCAAAGTTGGAGGCGTGTAAGATTTCTAAGTGAGCATTCATCTTTGAGAACTGACCAGCCAACTCTAGACACCCGAAATGGGTCAATATGAAACGTTGAAGGATCTCACCCTTCAGGTAGGAGAATACGTGAATGGAAATAGTTTGTAATTTCACCAAGTAAATAGTTAAGGCTGGTGCATTCTCATTGCTCAGCCAAAAAGAAAAGTAAGTTCTCTCAGCGTGTAATCATACAGGAATATGTGTTAAAAAATCCCATACTTTTGCAGACCGGTAATGGTCCAGGTGGTACATGAATCAAGAGTCGAGTTGGTACAGACAGAATTTTCCGTAACTGAGGAGACTAGCAAAGAATTGCATTTTGCTCACAAAGTTTCTCGACCTTTGACCCTAAAGAAAGGCCAGATCTTCGTATATTATTTCAAATGACAAATGCTTCTCAACTGTTAGAAAAAGCCGATGATTGAACTCGTCATGAACGGGTTGCTTCCTGAGATTGAGATATGAGGATGAGGATGGTTACTGATATGCCACTTTGGTCCGCCAAATGTCACAGCACAAGATGTGCCCACTTGATAGTCCATGATTTCTTGACGTATAGCTGGATAAAAAAAGAAAGAGTCCGATTGCCTTTCACATTTTCAGCAGGAGTAGCTATATCTGAAATGATTGAAGAATTTCAGGAAAAACGGTTTCGGGAAAATTATCCTAATTAGGCCCCTGCTCTTTCCCTATTTCAGATCCATTTGCCTTTCCCATTTTCAGCAGGAGTAGCTAACCAGCAAGTACTAAAAATTGAGGTCTTCTGGCTTCTACTGATATGTTTGAAGAATTTCCAGTTCTTCAACATACCTTAGCATGAGATTTGCTATATCTCTCCATGTGGCAAGGGAATGGGTTCAACCTCCCTTTCTTGGCAGCTTCAGAATTGATCTCCAAGTACTTCCCACTTACAGATCCACCAACGGAGAATAAGCAAGTAACCCAATATTGCAGTTCTGTGGGTGGCAAACTTCCACAAGATCAACTGCAACGAATTCAACATGAAACGTAATTACCGGTTGTCCTCCCTACCAATTTAAAGATGCGCTATTATAAGCATTTGAAGAGAGAATCTGTGGATGTACATTGTCAGCTTTGGGAAACGAAAAGAAAGAGTAGCGATGACTTCTTTCAACGTACAAGTGAGATTCCCCTGCGCAAGTTACCATCCGTCCATCCATTTATTACCTATTGAACTTATTAAGTTCGACAATGAGAAACTAGATAGCCATCCATCCCACTGCAACGTGTTGAGCAACGATAGAACTTCAGAAGATGGGACTTCCGAATTGCAGAATTATTATCCTCAATCTTCGAAATATCTGTTCCCCCCACAACATCCTCTAGGCAAATGTTCATTAGACAGCATTGTTCTCTCTTCACTTTCCAAGGAACAGTGTTAGAAGAAGGTACCTACAAAGCGGCATCTTACAAGTAAACTGTAGCAATTTTGTATGCTTACAATCTTTGGTAGTCCCTCAACTTAAGCCACAGGAACAAACTCCATCACTCTATAGGAAGTCTTGTTTGAAACGCCAATATAAAGAACCTGATAAAGTTCGTTTCGCATCTTTAGTTAAGTAGAGAGTATAGTTCTTTTTTTCATTTTTCTATATCCAAATAAGTAATTCAAGTTGGCAATGTGACTGTAAACATGCAGAAGCAAGTTTTAATTCTAGTTGTCATAAACAATGCTTTCGATGAACTCTACGGCAAATTCATTTTGTAACTACTTCTACAAATTCAAATGCATTATCATCATTCAAACAACCATAACAAGTGTAGATCTCTTATGCTGTGACCCCTTAAGAAAAGAGTTTAGATCTCTCATGCACTGATCAGCTTAGGCCATTCAGAAAAGCAGAATATATGATATTGACAGCAATTTAGTTGTATTCATATTCTAAAAAAAGGAGCATTGTCTTCTGGGCTTAAAGTCAATTATTCTCTTTCAAACTCATCAAATTGTCGAGCAAGGAAAATGGGTTGCCTGAGACGCTAGAAAAGAAATTAACAGCAAACGAGAAGTCACCTTCCCTTCGTTGATAAGCTCTTGAAAAGCCTTCGACTGCTCCACAAAAAGTACTAGGCCTCCATTCAGAGAAATCATAGGTATACTCGCCAAACAATGGAACATAGAGATATGGCCTGTCATGAATCTTCTAGTCAGAGAAGAAGAACAGCAACAAGAATCTTGAGAAATAAAGAAGTAACACTTCTACAGAGCCCATGGAGAAATCAAAAGAAGTAAGGAGCAGTTCTCTCTAATAGAATGGTGAAACATTGAACTTCCTTTATTTTTAATTACTACTATGCACCTTTTTCACTTCTTTGAGATTTCAGGGTACATAAGATGCAAGCCACTAATAAGGGTGTTGCGCGGTTTTTTAAGAAAGTCTCATAGCTACTGTAATCACAAATTTATCACGAAGGCAATGCATGAAAATCTTTTCATTCCAAAACTGGAAACCAAGAACCCTCTTATCCTAGTTGCTCTGTTGATTACAATTCTCAAATAGCATCCACTAACCTATAATTATGCTAACCGAAAGATAGAGATGTAATTTTGGTAAATCAACCGCAGAGCAGTGAAACAAGTACTGTATCATGATTGGATCAATGGAGCAAAATACTAAAGTACGCTTTTAGTGTGGAGGTCTGTCTACACAAATGTAAAAATACACATTTCAATAAGTAAAGTTAACTGCTCCACGTGTCCAGTCCCCACAAACAAAAATGCGCCGGTCCATCGATGCTAATGTACCACGGATTCATGCACACTACACAGTGATAAGCACACGTGGAGATCGGGGGGAAGGGTAGTATGGTGCATCATGCTCTTCCAATTCTCAATGTTTACATAAAAGCAGAAGAGAGATCATTTTTTTTAAGAAACAGGCAGCCTGAGAACCCAAAATCTCAAACTGATTTGGCAGATGCATAAAAAGATGTTAGAGATCTACGAGAAAAGAATAAAATTTTAGGTCAAAACATGTTATTGAAAAGGTGTTCAATTGAAAGCACAAAACGATAGCATCTTGTATGTATGAAAACGTATTGCTTGCTGAAGAACATCAGAACGGGAATCTGGATAGCTGGTACTCGTTAGTTGCAAAGTGGCCCGCCATTCTTTTCTACAAAAATGTTTAGTATGGACAACAGAAGCACTTTATGGCTTCTCTAACCTTATGTTTTTGCGTTTGTCTGCACACAGATATGCATCTACTTTGCTGTCCTATCTGTGACATCAGCAGTTGTCCAGGTAACCAATTGTGTTCTTGGATTAGCTAACGTGATATTGATCTCCTCTCTCTGGTAAAACATATCTTCCCCGTCTTTGCTGACACGGGCTGACTACTCAGTACAAATTAATATTTGAATTCAAAAGAAATTGAGGATATCCGATCTATTTCTATTGCAATTGCTTGAATAGGCTAAACTGTAATGATGTTAGATATGCTCAAATGAAATATTGCCAACCTACAACGCAAGGTTCATGAATTTTGGATTTCACAACTCTCACGAATTAACTGGCATAGTCAGTCTGTTGCAAATTGTATGACGTGGTTTCTTGCTTTAAACTGATGGTAAGTTTCTTGGAGGGAATTATTTAGGCATTCAAGGGGAGATATTTTAGTATCATCGGAAACAGAGAGATCACTTCCTTTCCATAGTCTCCTCTGGACTTTGCGAAAATGGTCTGTGTGTTTGATTTAGCCACATAGGACTCAAAAATCTTTGCTGTGGTAGGATCCATGCTAATGTTGGAGGCAAGGCACATTGAACTCTTCCTCAACGAAGGATACCAGGACGGAACTTGGGAATATCAGGTTGTAGGAGCTCACGATATCAAAGAGAATACAGAAGCAGCTTCTGGAGCCATTCTTGATGTCAAACACCTCAAAGATTCCTCAACCTCAGGTGATTTTAGCACTTCATTCTTGCTTAATCATCATTGCTTTCCTGCTCAAAATGCCCAAGCATGCAGCCACCCACAGAAGTTTCCCACTTTCATACAAACTACTGAGTCTTGTGCTAGCTGCAATAGAAACATACAGAATCCAGAGGCCCATGCCTAACTAAACTATCGCCCTCAGTGACAGGACCATCATATAGTAGCAATCTGGATAGGTTATTTGCTTGCTGTATTGAGATTACAGAAAATTTTCATAACTTTGTGGCAGCAGTTTTTGATGTTGAGTCATGGGTAGTGAAGCCTGCTAATCGGATAACAAAGGGCATGGCCACGGTCCATGTATTTCTCTAAATCAATCGTTTAAAAGTTGACTTTGTGCATATACTGAATAGCAGCATTGCTTCTGAATCGATCATGAAACGGCAGTAATAATCTGATCGCACAAATCGACATGGAGCTAGCTTTCTCTCTGTGGTATTGACATAAAGATGCAAAGAACTAAGAAGCAGAACGGTGACTTTTATTTTCACATCGACTATTTTTGAACTGTATCGACGCAGGATGGCATCTTAAATATCATGTCATGAAAGCTGGACGGTGAAGTCGTTACGATTAGGATTGGCCTGCAGCTTCTGTGATTCATTTCATACCAATTTTGAATAAAAATCTGAAAACTCTAGATCAGAAACAAAATGCATATGTAGTCTTACAATATCTGCGAGACTCCATCTTCCGCTCCTTCTTGGGGACTCATGGAGCCGTAGAACCAGTGCATGTATCAGACAGGATTATTAGATGTTGGATGTGCTGATACGTACAGACATGTCGATTTGTGCGATCAGATACGTTTTATTGCCATTATAAAAAATACACA